ATGAGCAATAATAACCTTTGGCAGGGAGACAGACATTTCCTGGGAAAAGGAGAAGAGGAAGCTTCATGAAGAAGGAACATCATGTAATCCAGTTCTGGATGCAGCAAAAGGCGTATGCAAGAGTGAAAACCAGGTTGGGAAGGTTGGCAGTACACTGGGCAGATCTTTTGTGTGAGAATTCTGTGCCCGAAACCATTTCATAAGACACAGTAACACTAAAAAGAGCTACAATAGATTTTTTTTGTCTTTTACTGAATTCTCACAAAGTCAACGCCACATTCTAGGTCAGCGGTTGCCAACTGGTGGTCCATGAGGTATAAAAGGTTGGCGATCGCTGTTCTAGATCACTCAAACTTATTTTAAGTAATATTACGACCCACCCCAGGTTATCCTCATGAAAAAAAATCATGTAGGATGAATAATTTGATGTAAGGCAATTAGCAAGGAGACTTGTATTAGGATGAATTATTTGATTTAAGATAATGTTAGTGGATTGCCAGCAGGCCAGGGAGATTTGTGTTAGGGACATACAAATGCATCCTAAGGTTCATTCGATAAAATAGAGATGCTCAAGTCCCATTCCCTAAATCAGTCTAATTAATAACTATGTTGAATCTATTTCTTTTAAGCACCCCCAATGACTCACTCACAGATGGTCCATGTTTTGAAAATACTGCCCTACAGTGAGGTCCCCAGTATGGCTCCAGTACAGCTGGGCAGTATGAACAGTGCCATCACAGAAGACAATAATACATTTCCAGGTACCTTGGATCCAGGGATTCTTGAGGTGAGACCTAGGCAAGCATAGCAACTCTATGGCTATCACATCAAAAGTCCCCAAACTCCAATTTTTATACCATTCCGTTAGCCATTTCTTGAATTATAATTACACAGAGAAAACAGCCAAGTCCCCCTCCCTACTAGAACTCTGAGCTCGAGAAAAATGACTCAAATTTCTGAAGGATAAAAGAATTACTATGAGAAATCATTATACTCCAGTAATACTGCAGGCAGGTGAAAAGAAAAAGATCAGTTTGCTGGCAGGAGTCAAACTATGGGAAATATTAATGGATTTTTTTTTTTTTAGTCTAAGGATTAAATATAATTTACAGCAATTATAATCAAAATGAATATTCGTTTTAAAAATGCCACTCACTGGCATTTATGTATTTGCTTATAATAATTTTTAACAAATATCCCTATTTTAGTGTACACTCCTTGACACCATTTCTTATACTTTTTGTATTCCAGTGCTTTATATCACGGAAGGCACTCAATAAAACTGGCATGAGAATATTTATCTAAGTTAAATATCTCTATAGAAATAGAGAAAATAAAAGTTTGTTAGGGAAAACTGAGTAAAGCTTAAGAATCTGTACTGCCCTTGAAAAGTACTTTCCTCACGTGTCCATATGGCTTGCTCCCTCACACCTTTCACGGCCAAACTCATTGTGAGTGAAGAACTGTTGATTAGAGAACTCAAGGAATATATATATATATATATATATATATATATATATATATATATATAGTATTTTTATATCAGAGCAGGCTTTGCAGCACATTTTACTAATATTTAGCTCTGAATTTTGCAAAATGATGGAGTAAGAGGCGGTTTTCCAACATTTTAATCCAAAATAAAATTAATCTGTCATACTGACTGCCTTTACTCTGTTGACATATACCATATTTAAAAGCATTTCAATAAAGGACTATAAGGGGGGAAAGTCACTGAGGCTTTCCTAAGCCACTTTATCACCCCATCTCCATCATTGATTTTCAACATTTTATTCCCCTTCCCTGCATTCTCCTCCTTACACGTATGATCTAATGTACTGCAATTTTACTCATCTATACTAATAAAAGGGTAATATGCAAATTAGTAAGGGGAATATGCATGACAGTAACCACACAGTAACCACTGAACAGTAGGCTGCATGGGGTGACCAGGCTGGCAGGAGGGACAACCAAACGAATGACCAGCAGGCTGATTGGGGTGACCAGGCCAGCAGGAGGGTTAGTGAGGGGCAACCAAACAACTGACCAGCAAGCTGTGTAGGGCAACCAGGCCCACAGGGGGAGCAGTTGGGGGTAACCAGGCCCACAGGGGGAGCAGTTGGGGGTAACCAGGCCCACAGGGGGAGCAGTTGGGGGTATTCAGGCCCACAGGAGAAGCAGTTGGGGGTAACCAGGCCCACAGGGGGAGCAGCAGGCTGCATGGGGCGACCAGGCCAGTAGGGTGTTAGTGAGGGGCCACCAAACGACCAAGCAGCAAGCTGTGTGGAGTGACCAGGCTGGTGGAGATTGGGTAGAGGGGAGTGGGGGCAGTTAGGGGCAATCAGACTGGCAGGCAGAGGTGGTTAGGGGTGATCAGGCTGGCAGAGGGGGCAGTTAGGGGCAATCAGGCGGGCAGGCAGGTGAGCAGTTAGGAGCCAGCAGTCCCAGATTGTGACAGGGATGTCCTGGATTGGAGAAGGTGCAGGCTGGGCTGAGGGAACCCCCTTCCCCCTGTGCACGAATTTCATGCACAGGGCCTCTAGTCCTATATAATAAAAGCCTAATATGCAAATCAACCAGTGGAACAACCATTCGCTATGCACACTGACCACCAGGGGGCAGACGTTCAATGCAGGAGCTGCTCCCAAGCCACAGGCCACAGGCCAGCTAAGGTGGGTGCCAGCAGGGGTCCCCCTGATCGCCCCACCAGTTGCCTTGCAGAGGGAGCTGACAGGCATTGGCCAGGGGTGGGGCCAGTGAGAAGGGGTGACCCCCCCCCCCCCCCGAGATCGACCCACTGATTGGCCCTGATTGCCAGCCAGGCCTAGGGACCCTACCAGTGCATGAATTCTGTGCACCGAGCCTCTAGTTTATACTATTTATCAGACTTCCATTAACACTTAAGTTCCACAAACAAGAATTCTTATTTTGTTCACTGTTGCACTTTCTTGTCTGGAGTAGTATCTGGTGCTTAATAGAAGCCCAATTGTCACCTGGTAAATGAATGGATGAAAGACCCATTCAACCAATAAAAACCAAGTATGGGTAACTGGAAAGTCTCTTATTTTAAACAATGAAATTATTCCTTATCCCTTAGGAAACAAAACAGCTTTTACGTAGGACACAAAGTGCTCTCAGTTCCTTCACTGAAAATGCTCTGTAAAATTCCGTCTGTCAGGCAATGCGTGGTCAGACTGACTTCTTCCTTTTCCTTATCAATTGTTTTCTTTTAGCGAAATGACACAGAATACTTCTGACTTCCACCGGCAACTCCGCAACAGGAACTGCAGGAACTGCAGGAACCAGGAAGTGTGGGAACATTGTAATTCGCATTAGCAGGCAGTCGCCAAGTGAAACTAGTTAGCTCTACATTTTCCTTTCCTACTCAAAGGCAAAGGGCCCTTGCTTTAAAAGAATCACCTGGACATAGGGATTCCCTTTTAAGTCCAATTCACCACATTGCTTAAAGGCTTTGACTAATTTCTGCTTCTGTTTCACTTATTTTGTTCCCCTGGCAATGTATCTATCTGCTATGAGCAAAGACTGTACAGCCTCCTAACAGGCTCAGGATTTCTATTCCTCTGCAGAGTTCTTTGGCAAGTGCCGTGAAATGTCAGCCCCTGAGTATATTCAACTTTACCCCAAAGGGCAAATCATCAGTTGGTGACAGGCTATCTGGTCACCATATTACTTTCTGGCTGTAAGAAACGTTATAGGTCAAAGATTACTCAAATACCCTGCAAAGTTAGTCAGACCTCCACCCACCCTTTCTGGGAAAAACAAAACAAAACAAAACACACACACACAACACCCATACTTAAACCTATCTAGCTTTAAAATCTGGATTTTAAAGATTAAGACCAAGTTGTCGCTTCTGTGAAATTTATTGAACAGGGAATGAAATTGGTAGTTCGAGTCACTAAACAAAGAACAAAGCATTCGTGTGTCTTTCATATCAACAGTCCCTCCTAGATCATTCTCTTCACCAAACCTTTCTCTCTAAGGAAATTCCGTTGTTCTCAGGATTTGACTGGCACCCAAACCTGACAATGAGAGCATTCCTCCACCTTATCTCCTGACTCTTCCCTCCACGTGCTGCGTAAACCTCATCTCTCCACGAGAACTTAAGTCCCCCATTAAAATGTCTCTCCCCACTTCGCACGGCAGTTCCTCACTCCCAACATTTCTTGTCGGGGACCATGCTACTTACGGGATCATGCATCTCCTTCTGAGAGTCCCTGGAATTAAATGTAAGATTCCAAGGAGAAGGCCTAGCGCAATGCTTTAGGTTTGCAGCCACGTGAGAAAAGTGTCTACAAAAATTCCCCATTGAGAAAAGTCCCTCAACCGAAGCCACGGGAGGGCAATCACTATGCCAAGTGCAGTGCTGGCCGCTGAGGCCCAAAGATCCACCCCGGGCCGCCCAAGACGGGCGGCGTTCTCTCTCCTCCCCATCCAGCCTTCCACAAGCTCAGTTCCAACGCCAACGGGCCCCAACCAGTCAGGTGAAGCGTGAACCCCCCACAGCCGGGCAGCGCCCTCGGATCAGCGCCTCGAACCCCTCTTTACATGCACCGCAGTGCCCTAAAGAGAGCAAAACTGTGCAGGGCAGCCGGCGGCTGAGCCGCCCGTCTCTCCATCACTCCCTCTGTAACTTCAGACAAATCAGTGCCCGGTCTGGATCCTGAGCTCCCGCACTTGTGAAAGGCGGGCACAGACACACACATCCCGCTTCCCTTGCACCATGAAGAATAAGGGACGTTTCTTAAGATGCACACACATCACACTCTGGAGTCGAATCCAGGGACTTAGTAGGTGTTCACGTAAGCGGACCTCCTCTTCCTCGAAAGCATTTAACGATGAAATCGGCCCTTGAGGGCCGCGGTGGGCTGAGCCGGGGGCCAGCGTCCACCTGCCGGAGGTTGGGGTCCCCGCCGCCGCCGCCGGAGACGCCCCATCCCCCTTGCTCCTCCTCCCTCACCCCCCCCCGGGCCGGACCTCACCTTGGTGGTCGTAGACGCTGATGTAGGAGATGCCCACGGCCATGCACCACACCACGAGGCTCGCGATGTCCGAGAAGCTGGTCTCGGGCTCCTCCTCGGTGACCACCAGGCCCATGTGCACCGGCAACTTCTCCAGCGACCGGCCGTCCGCGCGCCAGCGCAGCCGCGGGTGGGGGGCGCCCGGGCCGGGCCCCCCGCGCGGGGGGTGCCGGGGCGGCCGCCGGTGCCTGCCCGCCGCGGCCGGGGGCTTGCGGAGCGTGAACCCAAGCGGCGCTAGGACCGCGGCGGAGGCGGCGCGGCAGCAGCGCCGCCAGATCCAGGTCCAGGTGCCGAACCGCACGCGGAGCCAGTAGGTGAGCGTGCGGTGCAGGCAGAGCAGAGCGTGCAGCACCCGCCACACCAGCTCGTACAGCCCCGTCATACTCTCCGGGCGCCCGTCCGTCCGGCCCGCCCTCCCGCCCTCCCGCTGCCGCGGTGCCACGGCGCCTTATCTGCCCCGGCGGGCGGCGCGGGCCATCGCCCCGCGGCGCCCCGGTCCCCCGCGCCCACAGAACCCCTTTCTCCGGCCAGCACCTCACCTCGCCCCCGCCGCCATCTTGCTCCGGCCCCGGCAGCCCCGCCCCCGCTGGCACTCGCTCGGCGCTGATTGGCCGGCGTGGAACTCTGACGTGGCGTCTCGGTGTAGAGGATGTGGCCCGGCACCGCTGGGCGAGGCGGAGCGCGCGCCCGGGAACCAGGTGGCCCGGCTTCCGAGCGCGCCCCCTGGCGGTCGGAGGGTGTAGGAGCGGCCGCCGCTAAGTGCTTGGGCGCCGCTTGAGCCAGAAAGGTGTCTTGTGGTCGTGGTAGGAATGGGTGATGGCAGGGACGCAAGGCCCCCCCGGGGTCCTGGGCATCTTAGACGGGGCTGCTTCCTCGCAGGGGCCCGCCAGAAACTGTTTCCAAGCAGTCTACGTGGGTTGGCAATCACAATAGCCAGAAGGAAACTAGGGGGAGAAAGCATCCCTCAGTACACGTTGATGCTGGAATCAACCAGGGTCTCCTAAAGGAAGTGTCTGTAGAGGCGGGAGTGTACCCCTTAGAGAGGTCCCCTGCCACTGTTCATTGGTCAGACCTTCCAGCTAGTCTGATTCTGCCAAGAGTGAGAATGAAAACCCTCAGTAATGGTCCTGGAACATAATTCAGCCCATAGCATTCCCCTCTGAAGGGAATAATTTGCCTAGTGCATAAGAGAGAGGTTCCAGTCCAATCACTTCATTCTTTTATCATTCATTCAGCAAGCCATTACTGGCCACCAGCACCACTGACTTCAGTCACCACTACTGTTTGATGTAAACTGTCCATTCAGTCTTGTCATCCCCTCACAGAGCCTAATGTCCAGTCATCTGGGCTACAAAGTGGCCCTCCAGACCAGTTGGGATCTTCCCTGCAACAATTCTGTGCCATTTTTGCCCTCTTTGTGCAAACCCTTCCTTTCACCTGAGTCCCTGAATCCCAACTAGATCTTGCCCAATCCCAACCCACTGCTCAAGGCTCATTCTTCAGTGGAACTTTCCTTGATCCCCTCTCTTCGTTCTTGTGAATCTCATGGCGACTCCTAAGTTTCATGCTCTACTTATAGCACTTCCCACTTTCATATATATATATATATATATATATATATATAATGTATTTTATATACTATATGTGGGATTATGTTTTCTCTATACCTAGGTAGGTTCATAGAAGTGAAATAAACCAATGCTATTTTAGCAATACCTACCTAATCTTGGTTCTCTCACACCTCCTTTTCCTATTGGCAAATATTCGTCAACATCTTGGCTTTGTGCCTTTATGTTCCAGGCACTGACCCTGTTTCAACTAGTCTTATTTCCTGGGCGGGGTGTGGGATAGGGTTGGAAGAGATTATTGGGGGGGGGAGGGAGGACATATGTAATACAACAATAAATACACCCCCCCCACCACCATATTCTGGCATCTCTCTGCAATTGCTTGTTTTGTTTCTATTAGACTAGCCAGTGGTAGGTTGACAGGTATTCATGTTAAGGATGTTGTCCTCCCAAAAGAGAGAGGTTAAGGAGAGAACTTTGACACCTTTCAGTAGGGGAGGGATGGAGATACCTGGTCGTTGCCTCTATTACTGGCAGCTTCTCTGCAGTTAGAAGGAGGTCATTCAACATCTTGTTTTCAGCCACAATTCCGGGACAAGAAAACAACACTGCCTATTGTGCATATACATTCAATCCAAAGTTTATGAAATTCTTTCTTTTCTAAATAATTACTTGTTTTGTCATTTTTCAAAAAAGGAAATGAGTGTGGCACTTGTAAAACCTTAGGAGTTCAGGATAAAAACGCTGGATTACTTAGATATATCTAAACTCCCACCTCCATTACCCCAAGTTCTACCAGGACACAAAAATACAGGAAGAGTTCCACAGCCTGAGAACGGTGCTATTTATAGCATACCTAATGTTTATAGGACCAAAAGCCAGTTTTTATGCCATCCCGCTTGTGGCCATTTCTTAAAGTATAATCATGACCAACCTGTCCTCACAAATAAGGCCAAAATAAAGACAAAAGAGCCAAATCTCCCTACTAAAATTCTGAGGGGGGGAAAAATTCCCAAGAAAACAATACTAATTTCTGATATGTGAAAAAAAAAATAATAGTGTCAGAAATTATCATCAACAAGAAATACTACAGTTAAATGAAAGTAAAAGGCAGTGCCGAAACCGGTTTGGCTCAATGGATAGAGCGTCAGCTTGGGGACTGAAAGGGTTCGATTCCTGTCAAGGGCATGTACCTTGGTTGCAGGCATATCCCCAGTAGGGGGTGTGCAAGAGGTGGCTGATCGATGACTCTCTCTCATTGATGTTTCTAACTCTATCTCTCTCCCTTCCTCTCTGTACAAAATCAATAAAATATATTTTAAAAAAAGAAAGAAAGAAAGAAAGAAAGTAAAAGGCAGTGTCCAACCAAGGTAAATAGCAATAGATTTATTTTAGTCTAAGAACCAAATAAAATCTAGATTCAACTATAATTAGAATGCATACTTATTTTAACTGAAATGTTGGGGTAGCAGGGTACAGGGCTTGGAAAATGTAAGGTAGTACAAGTAGCTCATCACCAAGATCGAGGCCATCAGGCCACCTCATCCCATAACACTTGTGCAGTGGGCGGCAAACTCATTCGTCAACAAAACCAAATATCAACAATGCAACGATAGAAATTTCTTTTGAGAGCCGAAAGCCGACTTCTGCACATGGGACTTCTGCACATGGGTCTCAAAATTTCAATCGCACTGTACTGAACATGCGCACCCACACGTGGTATTTTGTGGAAGAGCCACACTTAAGGGGCCAAAGAGCTGCATATGGCTCTCGAGCTGCAGTTTGTTGACCACGGCCATGGGGAAATATGCACAAACACACAAATACATACACACTAAAAGAGGGAGAGAACACAGCACTGTTTATGCTAATATAAATTCTACTTATTTTTGCAAGGCCCAGCTCAAGCTTCACCTTCCTTACCACGATTATATGAGATAACCTGGCTCCTCGGGGTTTTTCTTTTTCTCTTCTTAAATGAAGACTCCAACCTTCACTAGCATTTAGATATTAGCTTATATTAATTTTTAGTAGATATCTCTAACTTGAGTGTAAACTCAAGAGATGCCATTTCTGCCAAAACCGGTTTGGCTCAGTGGTAGAGCGTCGGTCTGCGAACTGAAAGGTCCCAGGTTCGATTCGGTCAAGAGCATGTACCTTGGTTGCAGGCACATCCCCTGTAGGGGGTGTGCAAGAGGCAACTGGTCGATATTTCTCTGTCATCGACGTTTCTAGCTCTCTATCTCTCTCCCTTCCTCTCTGTAAAAAACCAATAAAATATATATATATAAAAAAAAAAGAGATGCCATTTCTTGTTTTGTGTCCCACCACTTTATATCACAGAAAGTACTTCATAAATCTAGCATTTATGAATATGTCAATAGGATTTGTTTTAATGCCAAATATCTACACTAATAAAAGAGTAACATTCTAATTGACCATGCCTTCACGACACCCACCAGCCAACCAGGAGTGAGTATGCAAATAACCCAACAAAGATGACAGGTTAATTTGCATACACAGGCAGCTAGGGGAGCAAGCTTCCCCTCTTGCCCCCAGCCACTCTGGTCCTCTGGGCAGCATGGGAAGGCAGAAAAGCAGCTCCGGGCCAGAGCGGAAAGGTGGCTCTAGCTGGAACAAAGGCAATGCTGGCAGCCAGGGGAAGGAAGGCCCATTCTTGCACAAATCTTCATGCATCAGGCCTCTGGTTTATATAGAAACCGCTTAAATAAAAGTCTGAGGAAAATGAGTAAAGCCTAAAGATCAGGACAGTATGTCCCTGAAAAGGACAACTTTTCTCACATATCCACATGGCTTGCTCCCTCATCTCTTTCAGGACTGCACTAAATCGCCAAGGTTGTCCTTAGCCACCCTATTTCAAACTGCATTGAGGATTGGGGTGGGTATGGCCTGGGAGGAGAGATGAGAAAGGGGTGAGGGGGAAAATAAATTGTACCTCCTCCTCCACGATTGACTTTCAACATTCTTATTACCTTCCGGCTTTATTTGTCCTCATTGCCCTTATGATTTAATATACCACACATTTCAGTCATTTGTAATATTTGTGAGACTTCCTCTAAAATGTAAGTTCTATGGGTGTAGTGATTTTTGTCTGTTTAATTCCCTGCTGTAACCTCATGCTGGAACAGATTCTGGCCCTTAATAGTGACACAATTGTCTGTCACCTATTGAACAAATGAATGAATGAGTGAATGCATGAATTGATCAATCAAAACCAAGAATAGCCCTCACTTGTTTGGCTCAGTGGATAGAGCGTCAGTCAGCCTGTGGACTCAAGGGTCCCAGGTTCGATTCCAGTCAAGGGCATGAACCTTGGTTGTAGGCACATCCCAGTAGGAGGTGTGCAGGAGGCCGCTGGTCAATGTTTCTCTCTCATCAATGTTTCTAACTCTCTATCCCTCTCTCTTCCTCTCTGTAAAAAATCAATAAAATATACTAAAAATAAAACAAACAAACAAAAAACCACCCTAGAATATGTAAACTGAAGTTCTCTTATTTTAAACAATGAAAAAGTCCCTTAGTCCCTTATTCCTTAAAAAAAAAAAATTGTTAAAACTGCCTTGGCTGGATGAGTCAGTTGGTAGGAGCATTATCCTTGACACCAAAAGGTTGTGGGTTCAATCCTCGGTTGCAGAAGGTAACCAATCAATGTTTTTTCTCTCATGTCAATGTTTATCTCTCTTTCTCTTGCTTCCTCTAAAAATCAATGAAAACAAAGCCTAGGGTGAGAATTTTTTTAAAAAATGGTTAAAGCTGCAAGCTGAATTTGTCACTAAGCTTCTTAAAATAAAAG